GTACAAATGACAATTTAGCCTTTTTAAACTTTTGCAAACAGAAGCTGCTCTTCATATTAGTGACAAACAATAACAGTAACAACTGCTTTTTGACAAGTTTAAAATTTCGTTAAAATACATTCAAACTGTTTAAAAATAAACCACAAAAATTAATTTAAAGTGCAAATTAAAATATAGCTGTATCTGCAATTGTATTTGATAATGTTTTGAACTTTTAAAATATTGCATGGTAAAAAAAGAAGCTGCTCTTCATATTAGTGAAAAACTTTGGCATTTTTTGATGAGTTACTTTCATTTTTGCCTTCTACTTTTAATTAATTTGAAAAAGGTTTCCATTCTCGGCAGGTTTTTAAGGTTCTTCTTCTACATATTAAAAAGTTGTCAAACAACTGAGTGGCGCACTAGCGCTACTAGTGGTGAGAAACTGTATTGCACCTTATTCAAAATCAGTGCGGCCCCAAGGCCTTCTGTGGCCCAAAATTAAAAACTGTTGTTCTTTTGAGGCCCTCAACGTGGCGCTCGCGGCCCATGGGTTAAGAATCTTTGTTATAGACCACGTGTCAAACTCAAGGCCTGTGGGCCAAATGTAGCCCACCACTGCATTTAATGTGGCACACGAGAGCTTCAAAAATGTATTAATGTCTTGAAATAAGCTGCTTTAAAGCCAGCATTGACCAAGAACTATATCACCTATGATGCAGGTCAATTATTTTACCCACAGAATGACAGCCTCCCACCGCCAGGTGGAGCTGCACAGGGTTCAAAGGTAGCCAGCGCTGGGTGAAATTTGCCATTGTGCTCTAATTTCACCAGCTTTTTGTAGTTGCAGTTGTACAGGGAAGTGGGAATTTCCCACTTAAAAGTCATAAATTTAAACTCTCCAAGTGAGAATTCCCTGTCGGAAAGCAGGTGAGTTCAGAATTCAAGATGTCAGCTGCTCACCACAACATGTGTTAAAACGCTGTTTCTATGCAGGAAATACCACATGGAGCTCAGTTTTTGTTTGTCAGCAGTTCTCAGCTGTATCAATGAGACAAAGAGTGTGATGTTTCACGTTTAGTCAAAGCTAAACATAAAGTTAATTGCAGCTCGCCCTTTGAGGGCTACCATAACACTTATGTGTCCCTCAGTGAAAATGAGTTTGACACCCCTGGTATAGACCCTAAAACTGTCAGAGAAGTTGTGYAATTATTGTATATCTGGCAACACTGCGCAGAGCMCATCAGGAGGTGATTAGTCCTGATCTGTCAGCTCGTTTGTTGAGAGGCGGAGGAAAGAACTTCCACTGAAACTCATCAAAGTGAGTGGATGAGAGGAGAAAGACTCCATGTTTTATTTACAGAAGCAGCCGTTAAAACCAGGTTGCTGATGTCAGTCAACCACATTTGTTTGACTTTTTCTGCCATTAAACTCAAACTATTGTAGTTTGGTTCACTCTTTGCACTGTCAACACAAGCTTAAAACCTCACAAAACGATCCTACACACACACACACACACACACACACACACACACACACACACACACAC